TAATTCCGGCATTAGAAATATGTTTTACAAATCCATGATGACCGAATCCAAGATGGCGGCCAAAATAATGTATTTTTGCCAAAACGGTTCGGTGTTAGCTTATAATATGTCCATTATTGGGGTTTTGGGGTTGCCAGATTTAATTCCGACAGTATAATTTTAATTAACGCATCCAAGATGGCGGCCAAAATAAAATATTTTTGGCATAACGGTTCGGTGTTAGCTTTTATATGCCTTATAATTATATGTCCTTTATTGGGATTGGGGGGTTCGTATTACCGGTTTCAACTCCCTCAATACAATTTTGTTTAACGAATTCAAGATGGCGGAAATCCAAGTTGACGACCAGTATCAGCAAACATAACGTAGTTTTGCCCGTAACAGTTCGGTGTTGGCTTATAATATACCATATAATATGTCCTTTATTGGGTTTTCGGGATCGCCGGTTTCATTTCAGGTGACAAAAATGTGTTTTTCTAATCAAAGATTACGGAAATTAAAGATAGCGACTAAAATACTCGCCTTATAATAATTTGTCCTTTATAGTGGTTTCAGGGTCGCCTGTTTCAATAAATGTTTTTCGAGAATCCAATGTGGTGGAAAACCAAGATGGCAGGTATTTTGAGAAAAACGAAGATCACAGATGATATTAATGTTTATCCTAAATTAGTCATATATCCAATCAGGATAATATATATAATTTTAATAATTTATATTCTCCTTCTCTATCTAGTCTCCATAGTAGTCCATAATTTATGTTATACAATCGTGTATCGGTTAGTAATATATTATAATAGCCTTTCAATATATATTCTCCATAAGCTCTCAACCACCATAACCTTTCTGCCAGTGCCATTTGTAATAGTGCACCAATGTCCTCCGCAACACCAGTTTCAGGTTGAATCAAAAAATTTATAGACCGCTTCAATTCTGACTTTGTGAAGTTTTGAAAACTTGATCTATCTGACTTATTGATGCCTCGGTTAACCGACCCCTGTGTCTCTTACAAATATCCCGTAGTTCATATATTTTGCTGGTTCTCTTTTTCAGCTCTTGTTTCGTCCTTACGGACAGTTCCTTGGCAACCTTAACACTTGCGAGAAATGCTTCCTCGAGCGCCTTCATCTTTTTACCTCTATTGACACTCTCGACCATTTTCAGAAACTTCGCTTCCCGCTCTCGTTTTTTTCAATAAACTCTTCGCTTACTAGGAGTGCATTGGCAGCCACGGCATTCTTCACTGAATGGGTTTGAACAGTGGTCATCCATCCTGATGCGCGAATCTGATTGTTTAACTTTGCCAACTCGCCTTCACATCCCAGGTTTGTCAAAGGAGTGAATTGTCCTTTAGGTTCCTTAATATTTCCTGATTTAGAATATCCCATAGCTCCTAGTTGTCGGTCTAGGACATCTATCGATTCAATTTTCTCTTCTATGTACTCGTATTTCGAAGTCAGTTTTTAATCTCTTTAGTTTACTGAGCTTCTCATTGAAGAGCCGTTTCACAACATCCCAATTTCGCCGTTCATATTTTTGTTCTCGCCTTTTCGCTTGTAGCTATCTATGCCCAACAGCTCGATTATTGGGGAGATTATCATTTCTCCAATTAGGGAGTGCACCTCAGCACAACAGTGGAACCCCTTATTCTTTATGAATGGGTGCACTGCTAGGACAAGTTTATTGGCATTTGTATCGATAGCTGATTCGAAGAAGGACTCAATAATGTCCTTCATTTTGAGATGCTGTTTCGCCAAAACCATTGAAACCAGCTGCATCAACACCATTGATGAACACCCATGAGGCAAACCCGTTGAATAGAGAGACAGAGTCTCAGTGTGATTGATGATTGCGAAGATTAAATATAGAAGATGATGAACGTATTATACTTTCATATTTGATCATCTTCTCAACCCCAATTCCTAACTCAGTTTCTTTGAAAACCTTCTCTATTTCATGCTCGGTACCAAGAACAATATGCCAGCACTTCAATATTTTGCCCTTTTCAATTCTCAAATTTTCGAGAAACACTATATAGTCTGCAGCTCGATCCGGCATCCAAAAATCTATCTGCTCCTTTATGTCATTGACAGATGTACCTGCCAGAATATTGAGACACGGTAGCTTGAATTCGTACGCCCCAGCACCGTCCTTGCCGCAGTGAGATATGTTTTCTGTGTACCCAGTTCTGAGCGTTTGCTGATCGCTAGATGATGGGTTTATAATGTCCAATGTCCTTAGTTATGTCATCCAGAGATGATGTTGGCTACATTCATGGTTATACCAATTAGGTCAGTAGTAGACACTTTGAATGTAGCTAGACACTGCGCCAGACTCAGCATTAACTTTTCATTGAAGGTCTTCCTCCCAACTCGTGTTCTTACAAACAATCTTTCCCATCCTAATATTCAGAATTAAACTTACCTTGGGTTTCGATAAATATACGTTAGTCTATCCAATTGTGGCCGCCATCTTGGATTTACACCATCTCGGGTTTGTAAAACAAATTTTTATTGCTAGAATTGTAACCCACGACCCTGGAAACATACCTTATTTTTGCAGATTTTGGCCGACATCGCGGATTTCCGCCATGTTGGATTTATGAAAGGAATGTTTGTTACCGGAATTGAAACCGGCGACCCCGAAAACACAATATTGTTAGGCATATAAAAGTTAACACCTAACCGTCATGTAGAATAAAGATTTGGCAGTAAAAAGATATATTTTAGATACAAATGCAATATTCGGGCATTTCTTTTCAGATCCTCCCAAACCATAAAGAGACCCGTACGTCTGTGGGTAGAATGAACAATCATTGTCTTATGCTGTGGTTTATATAAATTGAGAAAGAGAAATTTTAGATATCAAGTTCAGGACCAGATTAAAATCCTTTCATAGTAATTCCACTCGACACAAACTAGCTCATTTCAGGACTAACACATGGCTTAACTTTATTTCAATAATTCGCTTGTGCGCAGGGGTCTTTAGCAGGGCGGGGGGGGGGGGAGAAGGGGGGGGGGAACCCGCGCGGTTGGAAAGGCAACCCTACTCCTTGTCGCGTACAAGCGGGGAATCGTGATTTCACGCTCACGCGCTAACCATAAAATGACGAGTTTCTCCTTGAAAAAACATTCCCTGCAATTAAAAGTAGCCAACTTCAAGGCGAACTTTTTCAAGTTTTCTCAATAGATATCAATGTGAATATCTCACCAACCGAACATATTCATATTTATGCTTAACAGTGTGAATTGGTAGTAATAAAAAAAGATTTACAAAATTAATAAAGAGTGGCTTGGTTGTGCAAAACGACACCTATAGACAAGGGGAAAATTTAGAATCGCCCAGTTCGTCATAATGTTACTGCAATATGAAACTGCATCATCATCAAAGGTTCATAAATTTAAATACAAATGAATACAAGAACAATACTGTGGCAAGTAGAGATGAAGGTGAACATGGGGCATGAAGATGAACACGAGAACATGAAAAATGAAGATGAACATGAGAACATGAGCAATGAAGATCAAGAACATGAACATGAGAAATGAAGATCATGAAATGAACACAGGACTGAACATGGGCATGAACAATGGGCATGATATAAATGAACACATGAAACATGAGAACAAGAGACATGAAAATATGTGACACGAAAACAAGAGTTATGAAAAAAGAAATATGAGATCATGAGAACACGAGACACGAGAACATGAAAGTCAACATGAGGAATGAGAACATGAAAGTGAACATGAGAAATGAGAACAAGAGAAAGCAGAACAAGAGAAATGAGATTATTGTCGGTTCCTTCACCGTCAAATTCGTCCCTAGTATCCTGTTATTGGTACATGTATGTTCTTTAAAATAGGATATGTGGTGAAAAAGCTAATGAGATATATGATGCATATGATATATGATACATAGGCTATACAAACATTAAAAAGATATCTTACAAAGTTAATATCTTACATGCGTCGAGGGAGAACGGTTGCCAAGACAACGTTTAATTCATTAATCAATACACTAGTTGTTGTAATATATCTCTAACAATGTCTAATTAGATCGACAACAGAATATTACAAAATAAATATCACTACATGGAAAAGACTCTGACATGTTTAATGGAATCGACAGCGGTGGAGGTGGGTATCTTCTTACGAGAAGCTAGAAGAAGGGTGTAAGTTATTTGCTGAGACGGGTTTATTTTGGCTTAATTAAACACATCATACATGTTTGTTTGCAAATAAACCCAAGCACATATAATTAGCCCTTCCACTCCAGATCGTTCCCGATTGATAACAAAATAATAATTTGATTTGGCTATAGTAACATCAAAGCACTATTCGAATGTATGTAAAATTTGGAGACGGATCTATCAGTCGATCACTGATATAATTTATATGTGTTTTGTAAATGAATGAAATGGGGTTGAATGTCCTACTGTTCTGAGCTAATGAAGACGGACATAATGCCATACAGTGTTATAAGGGAAATTTGGCCCGGGCAGCGGCACTATGGCCTACCCATATATCGAATTCCAACTGTCAAGGGTTCTTTTACGTGTATGGCAATGAGTACATGGGACCTCGATTTCGTCCCATATGAACGACTATACACTATCCCTTGACAGGCCCTCCGTCCTGAACCACTGGCACAAAGGGGGGGGGGGGGGGCACGCGGAAAATCTCGATGAACTTTCAATGCCAACAGCGGGATCGAACAGCCCCCCCCCCCCCAAGGTTAGCGAGCCAATGTCTAACTCACCGAGCCACCCAATATGCCATACACATGTTGAGAAGTGATAATAATGTTTAGAAATTCAAAGGACATAAACGTAATCGGAAATTAGAAATGATATTTTGGAATTTCATTTATTAATGCAAAACAGTAAGATTTATTTCTTTGCTTGACAATAGCGGGTGGGGTGATAGATCAGATTTGCAATTACGTTCTTCTTTAATATGATTATAGTCTGCATTGGATAGAAAAAAATATATACAACTTACCACACACGACACACGCAGCTGAAATGATAAAAATAATAAATAAATATCAGAGAGCGGGAACTTGGAAATAGACGAATAAAATGAGATAAATTATTAGTTTAATTTGTTAAAACATTGTCACATTTACGAATAATAATAAATACATGCCTACCTATCAATGTAATGATTTTCATTGTTGCTTACAGGTTGATTACTGGATGTTGTCTGCCACCTAGGTCCAGAAATATTTCCTTTTATGAGTGACGGTTGACGGCAACTGCGCAAGTCACAATGACGCTAAAAATGTTGACTCGTGTATGATATTGTATATTGATACTTGATTAATATATTATTAAATAATGATGCTTTCAGCAACTAAATATACAAATAAGATAAGTCATTGTACTAAAGCTGAAATCAATTATTTTACCTCGTGATTAGATCGCCAATCGTGAAACTTCTGTTCATGGTTGCCATAGTGAAATAATAATTCTCCCAGTGCGTCTTGTGTTTCTTATTTCTTGTTTGTCTGTCTGAACTTGTAGGAAACTCAATGAAATGTAGTTAAATCCGGTTAATGAAGCCCCCTTCTTCATTATCCCAGTCGGTGCAGAACTATTGGACGTAAAACCCTGCTCTTATTTTGAATTCCAACTGTTAAGGGTTATTTTCCGTGCACGCCAACTTGTACACGGGACCTCTGTTTTAGTCTCACCCGACCAACTAGATACTGTTCCTTGCCAGGACCTCCGCCATGCTTGACCACTGACAAGCGGAACCTCACAGGAAAACCACGAAGGACACTTGCCAGTAATTCCGGGATCATTTGGGTTTAGATATTTTTCTTTTTTTGACTTTCAAATTTCTTTCATTTCCAAGCATTTTATATTTGGAAAGCCAATAAACAGTGATTTAAATTGAGTTCGTACGGAGCCCGGTAAGGGACACAAAATAAAAAAAAATATCTGGCGCGCGTTAGTTATTATCCGGTGCGCACCGGATAACTAACTAGCGCCCGCCATATAATAACTTGCGCGCGCCAGATATTATCCGGTCCTCGCTACTACACACATGGATCGAAATAGACAAACACTCATTCGTAAATACTGCCGCTTGTGTGTTAGTTATGAGAAAATAGCAGCCCTTCTCATGGTCAATCATCAGATACAATTAGCCGTTAGACAGTTAAAGAGGCTTTCCCAGAAGCAGGACTTGGCAGAAGAAAGCACTTTTCCTGTTTACTACACTCAGTAAGAAATAATTCTGTTAGAAACCAGAAAATGTTCTGGCAACTGGGTTACCAGAATTTATTTCAGATACTTTTATTCTGGGTTTAATTTATTTATTTTTTTTAACAGAGAATATAGAGAGAGAAAAATCATCTGGTAAACCAGCTGCCAGAACTTTTTCTGTTGGTTTACAGAATTTTTTATTTTGCGTCCCTTACCGGGATCCATAAGTTCGTTTATTTCTGGTTAGATATAGGACAATTAACTTGTGGTTCAATTATTATTGGATAGAACTCAATCCGGTGATTGGCACTATTAGACCGCGTGGACGATTTGCCATCTGTGTGCGTATATATGGCGTATATTAACGTTCAACGCTTATAGCAAATATAATGAAAAGATCAAAGCAAATGTACGTGGGTGTGCAGCCGGTTGAAATGACAGGGTGGAAATAATTAATTTTCAACCGGTTTTCGTTTTTCTAAGATACCTGTTCTCTACTTATTTTATAAGCAGTTTGTTACCGTAGTATTAAATGAAACATGCGGAAGAATAGGCTATTTTGTATTCGAAAATTGTCACACAAGAACATTAAGATATTCACGAATGTATTACGAATTCCTCTAATATGCGTAACGCTGAAATTTTATTTCGTGTTATTATTAACCCACGTTTCAGTGGATTGCAAATATTCACCGACTAGCTGCCGGTGGGCGTATGTTTCAATAATGTGGCGATATATTGTCGTCATACCATTCAATGTGTAAATCCGAACATTTAATTTAACAGACATGTTGTTGAAATAGTGGTGAAAACTAAACAGTTTTATACACATTAAAAATACAAATTTAACGTCAATTTTAAAACCAAATTATAAATTTGTTGAAAACAAAAACAAAACATAATTTGGTTAGACATATATTAGAAAATAAAAACTATGATTATTCTAATTTTGACAATTATGTTTTTTGAATCGATTTTGAAAAAAATAGAGTTAGATCGCCAATCGTGAAACTTGGGTTCATGGTTGCCATAGTGAAATAATAATTCCCAGTGCGTCTTGTGTTTCTTATTTCCTGTTTGTCTGTATGGACTTGTATGAAACTCAATCATTGTAGGCCTATAACTGATGGTTTGTTAGGATGTACCTTTACAGAAAAAAATAAAAATGTTCTGCCAACTGGTTTACCAGAATTTATTTCTGTTACTTTTATTCTGGGTTTTATTTATTATTTTTTTTAACAGAGAATATACAGAGAGAAAAATTATCTGGTAAACCAGTTGCCAGAACTTTTTCTGTTGGTTTACAGAATTTTTTTATTTTGAGTCCCTTACCGGGCTCCATAAATTCGTTTATTTCTGGTTAGATAGGAAAGTAACTTGTGGTTCAATTATACTGGATAGGCCTCAATCCGGCGATTGGCACTATTAGACTGCGTGGTCGATTTGCCATCTGTGCGCGTATATGGCGTGTATTAACGTTCAACGCTCATAGCAAAATATAATGAAAAGACCAAAGCAAATGTTCGTGGGTGTGCAGCCGGTTGAAACGACAGGGTGTGCATAATTAATTTTCAACCGGTTTTCGTTTTTCTAAGATACCTGTTCTCTACTGATTTTATAAGCAGTTTGTTACCGTAGTATTAAATGAAACATGCGGAAGAATGAGCTATTTTGTATTCGGTAATCAACACAGTTCCTTATCTTCGAAAATTGTCAGACTAGAATATCATGTCAAGCTATTCATCAATATATTAGGAATTTCTCTAATATCCATAAGGCTGAAATTTCTTTCCCTGTTAATATTAAACCTCGTTTCAGTGGATTGCAAATATTCACCGACTAGCTGCCGGTGGGCATATGTTTCAATAATGTGGCGATATATTGTCGTCATACCGTTCAATGTGTAAATCTGAACATTTAATTTAACAGACATGTTGTTGAAATAGTGGTGAAAACTAAACAGTTTTATACACATTAAAAATACAAATTTAACGTCAATTTTAAAACTAAATGACAAATTTGTTGAAAAAATTGCAGAACATAATTTGGTTAGACATATATTAGAAAATAAAAACTATGATTATTCTAATTTTGACAATTATGTTTTTTGAATTGATTTTGAAAAAAATAGAGTTAGATTGCCAATCGTGAAACTTGGGTTCATGGTTGCCATAGTGAAATAATAATTCTCCCAGTGCGTCTTGTGTTTCTTATTTCTTGTTTGTTTGTCTTGGCTTGTGGGAAACTAAATCATTGTAGATCTATAATTGATGGTTTATTAGGATGTACCTTTACAGGAAAAAAAATAAAATGAAATGAAGTTAAACCCGGTTAAACATACATTATGCAAGAGCTAAATCTGTCTGTTGCGGGTCTTTCTTTGGGCCTAAAATGTTATCTAAATTATTAATTAGACATTGATTAACCTATCCAGACCATAATCAACTCTAGATGACATCGCTGTCCTGCGATCGTTGGTGGATTATGGGCCGATTTAGTGCATAACTTTCCTTCACGATTTAACGATTCAGTGGATAATCGAGACTATGCTGTTTATCGTACTGACTTTAGTAATGATGATCGAGGTTAGGTGGAAATTTCAATCGCTTAGTTCTCGGTTAATAGTGGATCAATTTGAATGAAATTGTCAGCAATTTGCCTTTACATTATCTAGTTTTAAACTATTATAATGAGAACTACCAAAACCTTATCGAATCTACCATAATGTATCTTTAATTAAGCCCCCTTCTTCATTATCCCAATCGGTGCATAACTATTGGACGTTAAACCCTACTCTTATTTTGAATTCCAGCTGTTAAGGATTATTTTACGTGCACGCCAACTTGTACACGAGACCTCTGTTTTAGTCTCATCCGAACAACTAGATATTGTTCCTTGTCAGGACCTCCGCAATGCTTGACCACTGACAAGCGGAACCACACAAGAAAACCACGAAGAACACTCGCGGGTAATTCCGGGATCATTTTTTTCATTTTTTTTTTTTTTTTGACTTTCAAGTTTCTTTCATTTCCAAGCATTTTATATTTGGAAAGCCAATAAACAGTGATTTAAATTGAGTTCGTACGGAGCCCAGTAAGGGACACAAAATAAAAAAAAAATCTGGCGCGCGTTAGTTATTATCCGGTGCGCACCGGATAACTAACTAGCGCCCGCCATATAATAACGGGCGCCAGATATTATCCTGTGTGCACCGGGTAACTAAGTAGCGCGCGTCAGATAATAGACAGTTAAAGAGGCTTTCCCAGAAGCAGGACTTGGCAGAAGAAAGCACTTTTCCTGTTTACTACACTCAGTAAGAAATAATTCTGTTAGAAACCAGAAAATGTTCTGGCAACTGGGTTACCAGAATTTATTTCAGATACTTTTATTCTGGGTTTTATTTATTTATTTTTTTTTTAACAGAGAATATAGAGAGAGAAAAATCATCTGGTAAACCAGCTGCCAGAACTTTTTCTGTTGGTTTACAGAATTTTTTATTTTGCGTCCCTTACCGGGGTCCATAAGTTCGTTTATTTCTGGTTAGATATAGGACAATTAACTTGTGGTTCAATTATTATTGGATAGGCCTCAATCCGGTGATTGGCACTATTAGACTGCGTGGACGATTTGCCATATGTGCGCGTATATGGCGTGTATTAACGTTCAACGCTCATAGCAAATATAATGAAAAGATCAAAGCAAATGTACGTGGGTGTGCAGGCGGTTGAAACGACAGGGTGGGCATAATTAATTTTCAACCGGTTTTCGTTTTTCTAAGATACCTGTTCTCTACTTATTTTATAAGCACTTTATTACCATAGTATTAAATGAAACATGCGGAAGAATGAGCTATTTTGTATTCAGTAATCAACACAGTTCGTTATCTTCGAAAATTGTCAGACTAGAATATTATGTCAAGCTATTCTCCAATATATTAGGAATTCCTCTGATTTCCGTAACGCTGAAATTTCTTTTTCTGTTATTACTAACCCACGTTTCAGTGGATTGCAAATATTCACCGACTAGCTGCCGGTG